CAGAAAACCAGAAGTGGCGCTGTAGCTCAAGTGGTAGAGCGCTCGCCTTGAGCTAAAGAGCTGAGGGACAGCGCCCAGGCCCAGAGTTCAAGCCCCACGGCCGACCAAAAAAAAAAGAAACATCAGACCAGAGACAAAGGCCCAAATACATACAGGTTCCAAGAGAGGACTGGCTCACAACTCAGAAGTCATTTATACATGACAATTCATACTGCCATTTTCTGAAGCATTTTCATTCCCTATTGTCCTTCCCTTTCTGGCTTTGAAAAACATGAGCAAGGTCATGTTCACCAGCTTCCCTGCAGAATAACCTGGATCTGATGAAAGTTAGCTCATGAGGTGAGAAGCCACCAGGTTAAAATTTCCTGTTTCCTGACTCCTAGACCATGCTGTCCTTGCCTTCTAGTTCACCCTTAAATAAAAAATAGACCTAGAAATACCTTCTTCTATTGTCCTATCATCCAAGTTTTACCCTGAGATCACAGGCAAAACTCATAAACATTTGCACAACATAGACTTAAGCTAATTTCACCACATTTCACTGTCTACATCTTTTGTCTTGGTTTCAACAACTCTGGTCTTTCTATCCATGAGGCACACTTGGAATATAAAAAGAGATCAGAGTTTTAACTTTCCTAGGTGGGCCCACCCATAGGAGGCTAAAGAATGACTCAAAATTCCAAACAACCATTGGGTTTCACATTTACAACAACATTACATATAGAAAAATAAAAAAGCCTTGCTTACGATTCTGGACACAGGGTGAGATGGCTACCATTGAAATGAGTAGGCACAGGCCTCCATGCACTCCCAGGAGAATTTTGTTGTCCATGCAACCATCTTTCTGGGTATAAAATACTGCCATCAAAATCAAACCTCCGGTGGCAACAGAGTACATGATGAGCGTCACCAGGGACAGGGAGGCGTACCACAGCTTGTTAGTGGCAGTGCCTGCAGTCCTGTTTCTCCACAAGCAGATGAGGCAGAGGAAAGAGAAGACAAGTCAGTGAAGACTCCATTTGTAACCATTTTTCAATCCTTCAGGCATAGACCAATGCTATGAGGTCACCCACTACCCAGAAGACACGTTTTAGCAATGATTATTCATGTTCCACTAGATCGAAACAGTTCTCATAAATATGATCGAAACAGTTCTCATAAATATATAAGTTTCTTGGCTCAGGCCTAGAATCTTTTCTAAACACTAGAAGAATTTCCTTTGACTCAAGTATGCTCATCAACTAAAATAAATACCCATGGGCTTTACCCTAGCTTCTCTATTCTGAATGTGAAACCCTGCAATAGGTATTGGCAGCATTATGGTATGAAGTCAAGGTGGCTCTTCTCTAGAGTTCCATTCTCTCTGAGGACAGAGCCTGGAGATGCTACAGCCTCTCACTCCAAGTGCTGCCAATGGACCACCTTCTTTTTGTAGAAAAGCAAATAACTCGATTCAGAGCAAGTTTTCCCTCCTTGAAGGGGATCTGCAGTAGTGTTGCTTCTAAGTAATATGAAGAAATAGTAAAGAAGAAATGATACATACACACACCAAAAAGAAAGTGAAAAGGCCAGGTGCCAGTGGCTCACACCTGTTAAGAAGCTTAGATCTGAGGATCATAATTCAAAGCCGGACCTGGCAGAAAAGTCCACGAGACTCATCTCCAATAACCAGTAAGAAGCTGAAAGTAGAGATGTGGCTCAAATATTAGAGCAAAAAAGCCAAACAAAATCTTGAAACCCTGAGTTCAAGCCCTAGTACTGGCACAAAAAAACAAAACAATCCCCAAGACCAAAAACAAACAAACACCAAAACAGTGAATAAATCATGCAAAGAAAAATTATACTGATGTAGGGCTGGGAAGATGGCTCAGTGATAGAGCGCTTGCCTTGCATGCCTAAGGCCCTGGGTTCGATTCCTCAGCACCACATAAGCAAAAAGAAAAAACCGCAAGTGGCGCTGTGGCTCAAGTGGTAGAATGCTAGCCTTGAGCTGAAGAGCTGAGGGACAGTGCCCAGGCCCAGAGTTCAGGCCCCACAACCGGACCCCCCCCAAAAAAAAATTATACTGATGTATGATGAAGAAATAAACAGAAGAGAGCAATGTACTTTTTAATTTCTATAAATATTAATAAGGGAATGGGCAAGATACATAGCGGTTGAAATCTATGGAAATTGCTCAGAACAAAGAGTGTTTATAAATACTAAATGAAGAAGACAGAACAAAAGAATGGACTGAATCATTGTCATCTGCCTCATGATTCAATTGCTCTCTGTAATGACATTCTTCCAAATCTTCAGAGAAAGCAACTTGCTTAATGTTTTCACAAAACTGGAAAGCATTCAAGCAACCCAGCTGAAATGTTTTAATGATGGAAAAGTTACTGCTGCCAGAGACAAAGGAAAACAGAGAGGAAAGGCCAAAATGATAATGACCATCATATTCCTGAAGCCAAGCCAGGCACATCAATGACCACATAATTATCTAATGTAAAAGGAACACAAAGGAAATGAGAGAAAAATGAAACCCAAAAAGAGTGAGACAAGAGGATCTAAGAGCCCAATAATGACAGATGACAAGGATACAGAGTGGATTGTACATTAAAAGGTGGACATTGCTGGCTAGTGGGGAGGAGGGGGTCCATCCTACTTTTTCTCATTTTTTCCGTTACATTATTAGTCCACAAAGGACTTTCTTATAGTTAAATTTATATTGTCAAAGTTAAATCTTTGACCCTAACCTCTTCCTTGAACTAGAGGCTCATATTTCTCAATGACTCTACTTGGAGGTCTTATTGATATCCAAAGCTTAGCTGCAGGCTGACTTCTCTATGTTCACACCTCTCTTCCAACCTCAGAGAACACTATTCTTCCCGTTATTAGCAGAAAGACATGGAAACAAAAACAAAACAGAAAAAAAAACAAGAGCTGCAGTTGCTCTATAATTTTTCCTCCCCTCTGTACTTTCTCTCTACTTGATTCACCTTTGGATTATACCAGGATGTAACCACTGCTGCTACCTAGGTCCAAACCACTCCTCTTTGAGTTGATCACCTCAAACTGGCCTCCTTACTTGTACCTGTGGCTCACTTTTATCTATCCTTAACTCTAAAATAGATAATCTATTATATTTTTATTCTCCTTCAATACCTTTGTGTTCCCCCAATATCTCACTAAAAAAACCCAAAGATTTAAGGAATGGACATGTCTCTCAGAGGTACAGTACTTGGCCATTATTGCAAGGTCTTGGATTCTATCCTGAACACACATAAAAATAAGTAAATGAGAATAAAAACCAAAGCCTTTACATTGGTTCAGAGATACCTCTAATGTCATCTTCTCCACTCTTCCTATACCATGAAGCCTTAGTCACAAATACCCCTTTGCTCCTTAAATGAGCTCAGTAAGTTTAAAGCCAGCTTGAAGTGTTCTTTTGAGGAGTCCTGCTTGAAGCTCTCTTCTGAAAGAGGGAACCAGCTCCCCTGAACTCTCTTAGTCTTTAGTTTTCACAGAAGAGCCTACTGCATATTTGCTTTATTCCATGTTGAGTATCTCTTTCCCACCAGGAGAATGTCCTGCTCGACAGTGCAGGCCATGGTCATGGGCTGTGCCACCAGAAAATGACAAGTGCTCATTGAATACTAAGGCCAAGATTGTCATCTGTTAAAAAATAACTTTAGGCAACAACATTAACAATGGCTGCTGCTCCCATGTTTCAATATTTACTCTCTGGATGGAATTTTATTTTTGGAAACAGACCAAATAATACTATGACTGATTTATCTTTATAGTTTCCATGTCTATCACATTGGCATATGTATTCCAGAATGCTGACTGACTAAATGCTAAGTGAAATACAATGGTAAAGAGAAAGGCACAGACAACAGGGCAGAGGCAATGGACCCAGGAACAACAGGTACCAGGCTAGGAATGTTCTCTAAGCTCAAGTTTAGGGTTAGTATCAGAATTAAACTAAACCCAACAAAGTGAATTTAAAGTCTGGTATGTTCTGAAAGTGAGATTCTATTCAAAACATCTGACCATACTAGTTTTGTTATTTTAGTTTTTTTTTTTTTGGTCCAGTCATGGGGCCGAACTCTGGGCCTGGGCGCTCAAGGCTAGCACTCTACCACTTGAGCCTCAGCGCCACTTCCGGCTTTTTTCTTTTTGCTTATGTGGTGCTGAGGAATCGAACCCAGGGCCTCAAGCAAGCGCTCTACCACTGAGCCACCTTTCCAGCCCTGTTATTTTAGTTTTTATATTGACAATTCAACTCAAAAAAATTTGACTTAGAAAACCAAAAATCAACACATTTTTAAAAAACAAAACCATCTAGCCTAAATCAACCACATCAATCTACAAAATGATTGAGGTAAAAGAGGCCAAGACCAATAGGTCCCAAAGTCAAATGTCAAGAGGAGAAGTAGCATCAGAATCTACCCTGTCCTGGATTCCAGGGCCAATGGCATCTCTGTCCTACCACTTTGGGGATCTTCTCTTCAATATATCACAGAAAGAAAGGGAAGTAAAGAAGGGAGGGAGGGAGGGAAGAGAGGAAAGAGAGGGAAGAGAGAGAGAAGAGAGAGAAGAGGGGGAAGGGGAAGGGGAAGGGAGGAAGGAAAACTTAGAAAAAGTATCATCAGCAAGTTTTTCAAAACAATGAACTTATTTTCTAGATTAGCCCTATAAGCAAAAATACAAAAATATAGCAAAGAGGCAGGCACTGGTGGCTCATGCCTGTAATACTAGCTGATATCTATAGGTCACAGTTAGAATCCAGCCTAAGCAGAAAAGTCTGAGATGCTTATCTCCAATTAACTACTAAAAAGCCAGAAATGGCAATGTGGTTCAAATGGTGGAGCACTAGTCTTGAGCAAAAAAACTAAGGGACAGTGCCAAGGTCCTGATTTTAAGTAGGTAAGTAAATAAATAAATAGACTAAAATTGAAAAGGCTTCAAAGAAAATGACAATATTATGAATGTCATAGCTAATTCCTAATTTTATGCAGACCAACTAACTATACATAGGTTGATAAAAAAGGGTTTTGTAGAGTTTTCGGTTTTAAAGTCTGAACAATCACAACATTATTTGTTGCAAAGTTCAGAAGCCATTCTGAGTGGTTTTTAAAGCAACCAAATTCTTCCAAAATACCTTTTAAAACTAGGCACTGATACTTTGCTCAAGAAATTGGCTTCAAAATTAATCAAAGCATTACAGTCAGAGTACAGATCCTGCCATTTAATGGGTAAATCAGGAACTCAGTATCTAAGGTGTTAATATTTTACCATGAAGTTGACTACTTGAAGTATATCTGTGAAAATTTTAGGATGACATATTTATTTTGTCTAATACAAAACACACAGTGAAACTTTATACATTAAGAAATACTGAGGCCCAGCACATTGGTTCATGGTTGTAATCCCAACTACTTGGGATGCTAAGGATTTTGGTTCAGGGTCACCATAAGCAAAACGTTCATGAGACCCTATGCTATTCAATAAAAAGCTAAGTACAGTGGTGCTCATTTGTCATCCTAGCTCTGGGGAAGCATAAATAGAAGAATTATAGTCCAGACCATCTCAGGCATAAAATTTAAGATCTGATGGGGGGTGGTGGGGAGTAAAAACAGCTGGGGGTAGGGTTCCAGTGATAGAATACAATACTCAGAACACCTTGGCACAAGGCCCTGAGTTCAAACCCCAGTACCAACAAACAAACAAAAGAAAAGGCTTATTTTGTACCAGATTAATTATTTTAAAAGTATAGAAACTAAGACAGCAATTCAGTGCTTTGTCCAGAGTCAACTTAAGACTTGGTCTGGTTGTCACTTCATCAATGCAGTTTAGCAAGGAAAAACTAGCTATTAATAGTTGGGAATTTCCTACTCAGCCTGGCATGGGAATTCTATTTTCAAGACATTTAGAAAAAGTCAAACATTTTAAAAGGCAAGACTGGCTTTCTAAGGCAGAACAACACATCTTCCTAATAAAGAACATTTCCCTTCTTGGGAAGTTACAAGGAAACAAAATTTATAAAAAGTACTGTATCTCATGTTCTTTGTAGAAGACAAGTCATCAGCTACAAAATATTTTTAGGTTTTTTTTGTTTGCTTGTTTGTTTGTTTTGTTTTGTTTTGTGCTTTTAATCTCCTGAGGGGTTGGGAGCTTACATGTAACCTAACCAAGTTCAAGCCACCCCAAAAACCAGAGACAGGACTGGCAGGGACCAGCAATGGTTTATAACATTGGCTGAGGCAAAGTCCAAATTAGAGAGCTCAGGGGAAAAGAATATCAAGAAGTGGAAAGAAAGTAAATGCAGTATGAAAAGGCAAAAAATGACAGAAAATCAGTAGTAGAGAAATAAGTGGACAAGGTATAAAGGGAAAGTAATGTACCAATTGTCTTTGGTATAGACGGCTAATCTCTAATAAGGAATTCAGAGTTGTTTTCACCAACAGTAGGCAATTTCTATGAATCAGTCAGTGAGTTTTCCTGGAAGTGTCCCATAAATGCACACACCAGTTCTTGTTCCATTTATGTGCAAACTCCACAATCAGGAGGAGCTGGATCCCTATGAAGATGAAACTTCCGACGGCTCCCACGTAGCGCCAAGCTGCAACAGAAGATCATCCAAGAGGCCATGAAATGAAGCTTCCAAAAATTTTAAAAGGATGTATTCATTTTTACTGAATAGTTATTATATGTGTAATAGATTCCGTTCCCACAAAACAATACACAGTTGGAATATAATACTCACTTTCTAGTTAAAAACTGAGAGTCTCTGTGAGTTGACAAAGCCTCATATTCAATAATAAGGGCAGTTGGGATTTGAACACAGGGAGGCTGATGCTGGAGCATGCAAGCTTAGCTGCCATGCTAAACAACCAGGTGTAGGAATTCCAAAAATCCACAGTGGCCCACACACATGGCCAGAAAAATCAAGGGTTTAAATCTTACTAAGCAGTCGTCAATGTTTAGTGAGGAAATAAGGTGGGGCTTGGAGAACAATGGCTCAAGTCTGCTTTTAGTTCTGTCACAAAGAAGCTACAGCCCTGGATGAACAACATCCTGAGGGCTACAGATGTCTATAAAAATCACAAAGTGACACCGGGCGCTGGTGGCTCACGCCTGTAATCCTAGCTACTCAGGAGGCTGAGATCTGAGGATCGAGGTTCAAAGCCAGCCCGGGCAGGAAAGACCGTGAGACTCCTATCTCCAATAAACCACCAGAAAACTGGAAGTGGCGCTGTAGCTCAAGTGGTAGAGCGCTTGCCTTG